TTAAGGAGGAGGGGGTGGTCAACTGTGTCAAAGGCCGCGGGGAGGTCAAGGAGTAGGAGGACTGAGTAGTGGCCATTAGCTTTGGCGGTTAGCAGGTCATTGAGTGAGTTTGAGTTTGGTGGAGTGTAGGGGACGGAAGCCAGACTGTAGTGGATCAAGGAGGTTGTTGTCAGTGAGGTGGGCGCTTAGGCGATTGTAGACTAAGCGCTCAAGGAGCTTGGATGTAAATGGCAGCAGGGAGATGGGTCTAAGGTTGTTCAGGTCGGTGGGGTCCAGGGAGGGTTTTTTGAGTATGGGGGTGATGTGTGTGTGCTTTAGGGGGGAGGGAATGCGCCAGTAGAGAGGGAGAGATTGAAGATGTGGGTGAGGGAGCGTAGGATGGAGGAGGAGGGTGCCCGGAGGAGTTGTGTGGGGACAGGGTCAAGGGGGCAGGTGGTGAGGAGGGCTTCTGAGAAGACCTTGGTGACCTCCTTAGTGGTGGCAAGGCTGAAGGAGCGGAGTGTTGGGGAGGTAATAGTGTGCGGGATGTTAGATATGGTGGGGGGCAGGGTGGATGCGAGGTCAGAGGAGGGGAGAGTTGGTGGGGTTATGGTGGGAGGGAGGCTAGGTGGGGAGGTAGGTTGAGCATTGGCGATGTCCTTACGGATTGCGTCGATCTTATTTTGGAAGTGATTGGCAATCTCGTGGGCAGTGAGTAAGGTACTGGGTGGGGGGAGGCGGGGGGAGAGAGAGTAGGGAGTTGAAAGTGGAGAAGAGCCGGCGAGGACTGGAGGAGAGGGGTGTTGATGAGGGTTACGAAGTAGGCTTGTTTGGCGGTGTGGAGGGAGGAGGTGTAGGTGAGGAAAGGAAGCAGATTTGTAGAGGGAGAACGCTCGAGGGGATCTGATTTTGCGCCATAATCACTCCAGCGCAAGACTGCGTCGTTTGAGGTTTTTAGTGTGGTCCTTCTGCCAGGGTTGAAGCGGTCGGGGTCTAATACTACGTGTGGATAGGGGTGCTAAGGAGTCTAAGGCAGCTGACAGCGAGTCGTTGTACGTAGTAGTGGCCAGGTCAGGGCATGACAGTGGAATAGATTGTAAGCTCTTCTACCTTCTGTATCCTTCCTGATACCCTAATAGATTGTAAGCTCTTCTACCTCCTGTATCCTCCCCTATACCCTAATAGAGTGTAAGCTCTTCTACCTTCTGTATCCTCCCTTATTCCCTAATAGATTGTAAGCTCTTCCACCTTCTGTATCCTCCCCTTATACCCTAATAGATTGTAAGCTCTTCTACCTCCTGTATCCTCCCCTTATACCCTAATAGATTGTAAGCTCTTCCACCTTCTGTATCCCCCCTTATACCCTAATAGATTGTAAGCTCTTCTACCTCCTGTATCCTCCCTTATACCCTAATAGATTGTAAGCTCTTCTACCTCCTGTATCCTCCCTTATATCCTAATAGATAATTGTATCCTCCTCTGTATCCTCCTTATCCTAATAGATTGTAAGCTCTTCTACCTTCTGTATCCTCCCTTATACCCTAATAGATTGTAAGCTCTTCTACCTTCTGTATCCTCCCTTATATCCTAATAGATTGTAAGCTCTTCTACCTTCTGTATCCTCCCTTATATCCTAATAGATTGTAAGCTCTTCTACCTTCTGTATTCATCCTTTTACCTGACTTAATACAAATAAAACATCATAATAATACAATGTAATAACAACAAAAAAAGAGATAAACTAGAAAAAGTTACAAAGAAAATATAGTATTAATATTAAAAAAATAATAACAATAAAGAGATAAAATAGAAAGAAATGGGAAAAGAAAAGGAAGATATTTTCACATCATAATAATAGTAACAAAAACTAGAGAAAGTAGAAAGTCAGAACTAAAACAATAACAATAATCATCATCATCATAAAAATGAATTGATAAAATAGAAAGAAAGGAAAGAAGGAAGAGAGGACGGGATATTTTTATTTTCAGGATCTGCGTCCCCCCCCCCCCCTGTTTCCCCAGCTCCATCATGGCGGAGGCATCAGTTTTGTGTTACCAGCTCCCTGTATTTGGGTTACTAGTCACTGTATTGGATCGTATGTCACCGTACATGGAATGCAAAGAGTTACCGGAGACTCCTCCCCGCCATTGTCAGTGTGCAGTCAGAGTAACTTGGTGACAGGGAGAGCAGCTGGTGACAAGAGTCACACTCAGCACAGCAATGAAAGGAAACCCGCTTCTTCTGCTAGGTCTCTGCATGTCCCCACTACTGCCGGGACCCCTCTGCTTCACAGCCTCCCTACTCCTGGGACCTCTCCACTACTCTGCTTCACTACTCCTGGGACTCCTCCATTACTCTGCTTCACTACTCCTGGGACCTCTCCACTACTCTGCTTCCCTACTCCTGGGACTCCTCTGACTCTCACTACTCTGCTTCCCTACTCCTGGGACCCTTCCACTACTCTGCTTCCCTACTCCTGGCACCACCCTCCATTACTCTGCTTCACTACTCCTGGCACCTCTCCACTACTCTGCTTCCCTACTCCTGGGACCCTTCCACTACTCTGCTTCCCTACTCCTGGCACCCCTCCATTACTCTGCTTCCCTACTCCTGGGACCTCTCCACTACTCTGCTTCCCTACTCCTGGGACCCCTCCACCTCTCCACTACTCTGCTTTACTACTCCTGAGACCTCTCCACTACTCTGCTTTCCTACTCTTGGGAGCCCTCCACTACTCTGCTTCCCTACTCCTGGGACCCCTCCACTACTCTGCTTCCCTACTCCTGGGACCCCTCCACTACTCTGCTTCCCTACTCCTGGGACCCTTCCACTACTCTGCTTCCCTACTCCTGGGACCTCTCTCACACTACTCTTCCCTACTCCTGGGACCCCTCCACTACTCTGCTTCCCTACTCCTGGGACCTCTCCACTACTCTACTTCACTACTCCTGAGACCTCTCCACTACTCTGCTTTACTACTCCTGAGACCTCTCCACTACTCTGCTTTACTACTCCTGAGACCTCTCCACTACTCTGCTTTCCTACTCTTGGGAGCCCACCACTACTCTGCTTCCCTACTTTTGGGACCCCTCCACTACTCTGCTTACCTACTCCTCAGACCCCTCCACTACTCTGCTTCCCTACTCCTGAGACCTCTCCACTACTCTGCTTCCCTACTCCTGGGACCCCTCCTCTACTTTGCTTCCCTACTTGGGACCCCTCTACTACTCTGCTTCCCTACTCCTGGGACCCCTCCTCTACACTACTTCCTTATTCCTGGGGCCTCTCCACTATTCTGCCTCTATACTGCTGGGACCCCCCCTGCTGCTCTGCTTCCCCACTCAAGGGACCCCTCCGCTACTCATCTTCCCTATTCTTGACACCCCTCTCTGCCTTGCCTCTGCCCCACTCTTCCTGGCACTTCTCCTCCTTTCTGACCCCCTATCTGTTGCACCTGTTGCAGATTCTTCCTATCTTTCCCTGGTAACCCTCTGCACTGTACAGCACCCAGGATGCATGTCCCTCGCACAGGACTCTGCTGGACAGAGGTAGGTCTCCAGGTGTTCCAGGAATGGCCAGAGCCTTCTAAGAGGTTCCAGTCCTGAGTACACTTTCTATTCTGAAATATTCATAGCGCCAATCTATACTGCAGCGCACTGCTCTGGGGATGGCAGAATTACACAGAACACTGCACAGATGTGACTAGGAAAATAATGACATTGTATGAATTTGTAGAGGGCATAATTGGGAAGGTAGGAGTATGTACCGTGCAACCAGATCCACCTACTGCTGGACCAGAATGTCAGTTCTCACCGATAGTACAGAGGGAGTGAAGATAAACCGTGTTTTTTTTCAATGAAGTAGCAATGTGAAGGTGAAACAATGCCGTAACAATCTAACAATTCCGCTTCATTAAAAGAGAAGAACAGGGGCGGACTGACCATTAGGAAACTCGGGCACTGCCCGAGGGCCCGGGGTCAGTAGGGGGCCCCATGAGATGCCCCTGGTACCTTTTTCATAGGCTTTTTTGAGTTTGGGCAAGGACACAGGGGCCCCATGATCCCCTATTGCCCGGGGGGCCCCATGAGTTGTCAGTCCGCCCCTGGAGAAGAATATTAGTGGTTTTTGGTTTATTCAGTATGTAATATGCAAAGAGAGGTATCCCCAACTAACCAATCAGAATTCATCTTTATCAAGTCTGGTTTAAATAAACTGAAATGTAATTTGCTCAGCTGATGGGTTATTGTACCCCTTATATCAAGGTTTCTCAACCAGCGTTCCATTGAACCCTAATGTTCCTCCAGAGGTTTCTAGGGGATCCAAGGGGAAAAAAACAGTTTCTGCCTCTCAGATAAGTTCCCACCGATATCAATGATGTTTTTTAGCTATCTGTAAGGGGAGAATTCTTCCCACTGACCACCAAATGTACAGGGCGTTCGTCCCAATGACCACCAATGTACAGGACATTTGTTCCACTGACCACCAATGTAAGGAGCATTCTTCCCACTGACCACCAATGTAAGGGACATTCTTCCAATTGACCACCAATGTAAGGAGCATTCTTCCCACTGATCACCAATGTAAGGACCTTTTTCCCCACTGACCTCCAATGTAAGGGGCATTCTTCCCACTGACCACCAATGTAAGGGACATTCTTCCCACTGACCCCCAATGTAAGGACATTCTTCCCACTGACCACCAATGTAAGGGACATTATTCCCACTGATCACCAATGTAAGGGACATTCTTCCCACTGACCCCCAATGTAAGGGGCATTCTTCCCACTGACCACCAATGTAAGGAGCATTGTTCCCACTGATCACCAATGTGAGGAGCATTGTTCCCACTGACCCCCCAATGTAAGGGACATTCTTCCCACTGATCACCAATGTAAGGACATTCTTCCCACTGACCCCCAATGTAAGGACATTCTTCCCACTGATCGCCAATGTAAGGGACATTCTTCCCACTGATCACCAATGTAAGGGACATTCTTCCCACTGACCCCCCATCTTCGCCATGTAAGGGACATTCTTCCCACTGACCACCAATGTAAGGAGCATTCTTCCCACTGACCACCAATGTAAGGGACATTCTTCCCACTGATCACCAATGTAAGGGGCATTACTCTTGCTGACCACCAATATAAGTTGCATTCTTCCCACTGACCACCAATGTAAGGGGCATTCTTCCCACTGACCCCCAATGTAAGGGACATTCTTCCCACTGACCCCCAATGTAAGGGACATTCTTCCCACTGACCCCAATGTAAGGGACATTCTTCCCACTGATCACCAATGTAAGGGACATTCTTCCAACTGACCCCCAATGTAAAACATTCTTCCCACTGACCACCAACCTCCAATGTAAGGGACATTCTTCCCACTGACCTCCAATGTAAGGGACATTCTTCCCACTGATCACCAATGTAAGGGACATTTTCCCCACTGACCTCCAATGTAAGGGGCATTCTTCCCACTGACCCCCAATGTAAGGGACATTCTTCCCACTGACCACCAATCTAAGGAACATTCTTCCCACTGACATCCAATATTCATTTTAGTTCTCCAGGCAGTGGTTCATCCTCCTGTTAAAAATGAGGGGGGTTGGCAAAACCCTTTGCTGTCTTCTTAGTGTCCTTTGATTTTGGGCCCCTCTCTCACATTCAGTGCTATATCACTTTTCTCCTCCTGATGAAGTTGGTTGAGAAACTGTCGAAACACGCTGAGGATAAAGAACTCCTAATTTCTCTAATGCTAATTCTTTGATGTTCTTGTATTGTAAGACCATCACTGCATGGATAGGTTCAATATACTCCTTTAAGCTGCATTTGTTTGTTTCAGGTACTTATTATATATAGCACTTCACATATATATATCGTACATTCACATAAGTCCCCGCCCTATAGGAGTGTCCATTCTAAGGTCCCTAACTCACATTCATATATACACATACTAGGGACAATTTACCTACCAGCATGTCTTTGGAGTGTGGGAGGAAACCCAATCTGGCACAGGGAGAACATACAGACTCCAGGCAGGTCATGCTGTGGTTGGGATTTGAACCAACAACCCTAGGTAGGTGGAAGTGCTAACCACCCAGCCACTGTGTTGCCCTGTACATAATATATAAACTGGAAATGCATAACCTGGAATACTGTTACCTTTTGCACACTGGAAATATACTATTTTACATATTTTATGCTATAAATAAAGATACATTTATGATATCTTATGCATGTTGAACAGGGGCGGACTGACAACTCATGGGGCCCCCAGGCAATAGGGGATCATGGGACCCCTGTGTCCTTGCCCAAACTCAAAAATGCCTATGAAAAAGGTACAAGGGGCATCTCATGGGGCCCCCTACTGACCCCGGGCCCTCGGGCAGTGCCCGAGTTTCCAAATGGTCAGTCCACCCCTGATGTTGAATTACTCTCGGTGGCATTGACTGACATATTTCTTCCATGGATTACTAACTTGGTGAGATGTGGTACACAGAGATTTTCTGAGCAAGTGTTACACAATGCAAGGAGTTCCAGAACTCACATTTAATACAAAGACTATCATATTGCCGGATAATAGGTCACTTTTTGAGTGATTTTTTTTTTTTTCTAAGAGCAGATGTTTGCATTGCTGACCTTTTGTACTCTGTATTTCCATAACATCCGGAATGCTTGACATACTCCTCCCTCAATCTTTTGTTCTTTTTCAGGTGACACTGGCCAGCTCTGAAGATTAAAGTGATAGGCCGTTAGTAGTCATCGGAGAGGAAGAAGCCGTCGTGGATCAACAGGAAGAAGCTCGGAGGAATTTGTGACCCTCTTGACGTGGAACTGTTGACGTCTTCTTGTGCCCCACATCTTCCTGTTTTTGTGACCATAGACGGCCTGCCGTGTCCTGCGGGCCCCCTTCTAAAAATCTATACTTCCATTTTTAAATGATTTTTGCCAGCATACAGCTCAGGATTTTCTGCTGTTGATGTAATTGTGACCACCAAAAAAATGGATGACTCTCCTGAAAAGTTTGCTGCAGAATTTACTGTGTGATTTCCAAATCTCCTTTCGATCTGTCCAAGTGGCGCAATGAAGTATTTTCTTTGACGTTTGTTCCTACTTTGAACACTGCTGTTTTGCCAGAATGGCAGGTGTTGATGCTTTACGTCCTCCGAGGGCCCCACCTGACCAGGAACGGATGCAGACTGAGGCCTTAGAGGAGCATACAGAACTCTGGTGGTCTAGACAGCCGGTGAAGTCAGTCGTGTGCTACTGCTTGGCTGTCCTCCTTATCCTAGCTTGTGGCATTGGTGGCATCGTCCTGTTATCCACCACCACCAGCCGGTCAGGTGAATGGAGACTAGCTGTGGGGACAACTTTGTGTATTCTTTCCCTACTTGTTTTGTTGAAGCAACTTTTGAGCTCAGCGATCCAGGACATGCAGTGTGTAACCAGAAGACGACACATCGATTTGCTGAGGAGCGGTGGTCTATCAGACATTATGGTGTTCCTTGTAAGTGCCATCATCATCTTAGTGTGTGGTGTGGTTCTTCTCGTTCTTTCTTATTCTGGAGAAACCCCGGGATTCCCTCCAGTTCTGGTCACCATGTACACAGTAGGGGTCTCGCTAGTTGTCATAGGGGTCTTCATCCTTGTTGCGGTTGTGACATTTGCACTTGTGGTGTTGTGTAAGTCTTGTGCTCCCAATCGCTTCCATCCCAGGAACATGAGCATCTTCTCCATCTCCGGGCAGCTCACTCAGCGGCAGAACACAACCTCCAGTTTGGCCAACCTCATCTAAGCCACCACAACATTGACCGGAGAGCATTCATCTTTATGTCTTCACAATGTTTGTAGATCTGAGCCAAATTGACACAATGCTGTTTTTTTCAGGAAAGCTGGATGAACCCTGACCTAAATTGTTCGTTAAATGTTTTTGTAGCCTTCTGAAACACAATCTCATTGCCAGTTAATTAAGCTGAATGAAATAAACTAGCGAATGGCAAATTCCATTTGGAGGGGTGACCCTCTGTGGAAAAAAAAGGCAAGCTGATCAATCTTGGTCATATATATAGGCTCATAGCTTGTAAAGGTGTATAGCCAACACGTTTCGGGGCAGTTACAGCGCACTCTTCATCAGGGCTGATTAATCTTGGTCATATATATAGGCTCATAGCTTGTAAAGGTGTATAGCCAACACGTTTCGGGGCAGTTACAGCGCACTCTTCATCAGGGCCGTATATCTGGAACCTAAAGTATGGTCCTGAGGTGTAACCTAGACAAAGAGCCTTTCTTCTTCCAATGTAGAAGATGTATACGATGGGTTTATATCCAGGGGCGGACTGACCATTTGGAAACTCGGCACTGCCCGAGGGCACGGGGTCAGTAGGGGGCCCCATGAGATGCCCCTGGTACCTTTTTCATAGGCTTTTTTAAGTTTGCGCAAGGACACAGGGGCCCGATGATCCCCTATTGCCCGGGGGCCCCATGAGTTGTCAGTCTGCCCTGTTTATAGCTCACCTTAGGAACACAGATTCTGGACATACAGCCCTGATGAAGAGGACGCTGCCCCGAAATGTGTTGAATCTACATCTCTACCAACAATAAATCTGCAATCAAGACTGATCTGCCTGCATTATGTGCTGTTCGCTCTTCTAAAGCTGAGTTGAGCACTGGCTATGCTGATATTTAATTCAGTTTTGTCTTAATTATTGTATGTTTATATATTGCCAGGTTCCTTCGCACTACACGATGGACCCTTGTTTCACCTAATGATATTTTTACATCTACTTATTTGATTGGACTGGACATGATAACTTCATTGAAGTTTGAATTTAAAGGACCACTAAAATTAAAACAAAATGTTTATGTGAAAGAACTAATAATAACTGCTACGAACAGGTACGGAAAGGTCTCCGTGGTTGCTCTGCCAATGCAGATAGTTGTGGATTTTCCCCATCCAGGCACTTTTCTATGATAGTTATAATTTTAGGAAAAACTGACAGCCGGCGACATACATAGTTATATGTGATTGTTAAGAATCCCTCTTTTACATAATTCGGCTTATGTTTAGTGGCCCTTTAAATCGCTCATTATACAGCAATAGTTTAGAGTACATTGAAAAGTTTCCAATTTTAGTGTTTAGAATTGTGCCGCTCCAGAAAACAGAGATATTGGGGGGGGGGGTTTACTAAAACTGGAGCACTCAGAATCTGGTGCGGCTGTGTATGGGAGCCAATCAGCTTCTAGCTTCAGCTTGTTCAATTAAACTTTGGCAATAAAACCTGGAAGCTGATTGGTTTCTATGCAGAGCTGCACAAGATTTTGCACTCTTCAGTTTTTGTAAATAACCCCCATTTTTTGTGGTCTGAGCATGGGGACATTTCTTAAAGGCCACCTCCACCCAAAATAGTTGTTTTCAGATTTTATATGGGCTTTGAGTGGATGGATTGTTGGATCTAGTTATAGAATTCTCTCTCCACTGGTGTTACTTCCCTTTTGTAGCTTGCGTAGCTGTTCCTAGAGGACATAGAGATATCAAAATACGGAGACACTATATGATCCTTATTATGATTACCATTTGTATTATCTCCTATTCCTGATAATGTCCCTGGACTCCTCTCTTGTCCCCTTTATATGATGTTTTACCCCCTATAATGTCCCTGGATTCACCTTTTATCCTCTTTTATATTATCCCTTACCCCTGATGATGTCCTTGGTCGTACCCCCTATCCCCTTTGTATTATCCCTTATTCCTGATGATGTCCCCAGACTCCCCTCCTATCCCCTTTATATTATCCCTTACCCCCGATGATGTCCCTGGACTCCCCTCCTATCCCCTTTATATTATCCCTTACCCCTGATGATGTCCCTGGATTCACCTCCTATCCCCTTTATATTATCCCTTACCCCCGATGATGTCCCTGGACTCCCCTCCTATCCCCTTTATATTATCCCTTACCCCTGATGATGTCCCTGGATTCACCTCCTATCCCCTTTATATTATCCCTTACCCTTGATAATGTCCCTGGACTCACCTCCTATCCCCTTTATATTATCCTTTACCCCTGATGATGTCCCTGGACTTACCTCCTATCCCTTTATATTATCCCTTACCACTGATAATGTCCCTGAATTCCCCTCCTATCCTCTTTATATTACCCTTTACCCCCGATGATGTCCTTGGTTGTACCCCATATCCCCTTTATATTATCCCTTATTCCTGATGATGTCCCCGGACCAGAGGCGGACTGACCATTCAGGCTCTCGGGCAGTGCCCGAGGGCCCAGGGTCAGTAGGGGGCCCCATGAGATGGCCCTGGTACCTTTCATAGGATTTTTTGGGTGTGGTTTGAGTGTGGGCGAGGACATAGGGGCCCCATAATCCCCTATTACCCAGCGGTCCCATGAGTTGGCAGTCCGCTCCTGCCCCGGACTCGCCTCCTATCCCCTTTATTATATCCCTTACCCCTGATAATTTCCCTGGACTAACCTCCTATCCCCTTTATATTATCCCTTACCTCTGATAATGTCCCCGGACTAACCTCCTATCCCCTTTATATTAACCCTTACCCCTGATGATGTCCCTGGACTCTCCTCCTAACCCTTTTATATTGTCCCTGACCCCTGATAATGACCTGGGACTTACCTCCTATCCCCTTTATATTATCCGTTACCCCTGATGATGTATCTGGACTCACCTCCTATCCCCTTTATATTATCCCTGATAATGTCCCCGAACTCCCCTCCTATCCCATTTATATTAACCCTTACCCCTGATGATGCCCTGGGCTCCCCTCCTAACCCTTTTATATTGTCCCTGACCCCTGATAATGCCCCAGGACTCACCACCTATCCCTTTTATATTATCCCTTATTCCTGAAGATGGCCCTGGACTCACCTTCTATCCCCTTTATATTATCCCTTACCCCTGATGATGTCCCTGGACTCCTTTCCTATCCCCTTTGTATTAACCCTTACTCCTGATGATGTCCCTGGACTCCCCTCCTAACCCTTTAATATTGTCCCTGACCCCTGATAATGCCCCTGGACTCGCCTCCTATCCCCTTTATATTATCCCCTATACCCCCAATAATGGCTCTAAACTCACCCTCTATCCCCTTTAGGACCCTGATCCTATCCCCGTCTGTATCCTGGATAATGTTCTTGGACTTATCCTTTCCCCTGCCCCCCATATCAAAGTATTAATAATTCATATATTGCTTTGGAGAAGATAAAATGTCTTTGGACCTGCTACAAGAGGGAGTCAGTATAAAACGTTCGAACACCAGATTGAATGGTGAAGGAGTCCAAATTGCGTCAGCTCTTCATCATTTGATCACATAAAGCAACCAACACGTTTCGGGGCAAAACATTAGTCTTCATCAGGGCTCAGTGGATGTAACGAAGCTTTGATGAGAAATCAGATATATGGCGAAACCGCTGAAACGATTGTGAAGCGTATGTTAGTTTAGGCAGAGACAGCAAACCGAAAGAGCGAGAGACCGAGGGAAGACCGAGGATGTAATGCTAAGCTACCTCCAGGGAAGTTGACAAATACCGAACACTACATATGGTCCAAGGCAGAGATCTGAGCACAGCAGGATCTGGTATGTTTGTTCAGACCGGCGGTGTATTTTCAGGCTTTTGAGAAGGTGTCTGATCTCAATGACATGCCTTGCAAAAAGTGCATATTAAAGCCAAACTTCGGAAAAAAAATAAGTTCTCTCTTCCAGTAGGGCTGTGCCCAAAATGTAAGGATGAACTTCTCACTTTGTCCGGGGTAGAGGAAAAAGCCTTATACTCACCCGATCCTCCGTAACACCAGCAGATGGTCTTCACCCATGATCCAGCAGTGGACTGGTCTTGATATCCTCATATCCAGAGCAGGTCTATTGGCTTGATGACATCAGGAAGAGTCCACTGCTTGGGGGGGGGGAGGGAAGTCACAGGGATTGGTTTTGGACCAGAGAGGATCAGAGGAAAAGGTAAGTATATCTCCTATCCCCTAGACCAGTGGTGCAGCCCGGGGGTCGGATGTGGCCATTTGCTTGCCTTTATTTGGCCCTTGGGGCACTGTTTCACCTACAGACACCAACGATGGAGCCCTATTCCTCCCACTGATACCAATGATGGGGCACTATTCCTCCTACTGACACCAATGATGGGGCACTATTCCTCCCACTGACACCAATGATGGGGCACTATTCCTCCCACTAATACCAATGATGGGGCACTATTCCTCCCACTGATACCAATGATGGGGCACTATTCCTCCCACTGACACCAATGATGGGGCACTATTCCTCCCACTAATACCAATGATGGGGCACTATTCCTCCCACTGACACCAATGATGGGGCACTATTCCTCCACTGATACCAATGATGGGGCACTATTCCTCCCACTGATACCAATGATGGGGCACTATTCCTCCCACTGATACCAATGATGGGGCACTATTCCTCCCACTGATACCAATGATGGGGCACTATTCCTCCCACTGATACCAATGATGGGGCACTATTTCTCCCACTGATACCAGTGATGCGGCACTGTTCCTCCTATTGACACCAATGATGAGGCACTATTCCTCCCACTGACACCAATGATGGGGCACTATTCCTCCCACTGACACCAACGATGAGGCACTATTCCTCCCACTGACACCAATGATTAGGCACTTTTCCTCCCACTGACACCAACAATGGAGCACTATTCCTCCCACTGATACCATAATGGGGCACTATTCCTCCCACTGACACCAACAATGGAGCACTATTCCTCCCTCTGACACAAATAA